GAGGCGCACAGCGAGCGCCTGAATGGGGCAAACCTCCTAAGTTGAATGGAGTGTCTTTTGGGACCAATTTGTCTCTTTTCACTCTTTATTCTTCCCTTTTTGCTGACAGATGTACAAAGGCGGAACTGCGCCGTGCAGCTTATCCGCATGCACCCACAGCAGCTGTCACTTTTGTCGAGCAAGTTAATCAAGCAAATGCCACCATATCCCACTTTCTATAAGGAACAACATGTTATAGACAGTAGTCTTGCTAGAAAGAGACTTTATTTTAACTTTGATTGGCTTGGTTCCCCCACCCCTCCCGATGCTTCCCCTTTTTCCCCCCAGAGGAGGGGGAAGGGGGGACTTTGCCCAAGCCAAGGATTTGGCTATGACAATGTCAGATTTCATAATAATATTGTGTGTGAGGCTGGAGACGCATTTGGAGTTCTTTCCTAGGGATGGAGGGATGCCCCAGGTCTGGGTTTTTTGGAGTGTGCTATTGTTTGTGCTGGACCGTTAGGCTGCATGTCTCAAGTTATAAAAAGAAAAGCCGAGGGCAGAAAATAGTATTACGCCACAAATGTCTTGGATTAATTTTATTCTTTTTTCCTTTGTAAAGCAGGTTGTGTTATTTACATATTTCTTTTGATAAGCCTCCTTGCCTGGCCAAGCTTACAAAGGCTGTGCTAAATACATAATAGCATTTCTTTGTGTATCTTGTTGTTAGTGAGTTCCTTAAGTTGAATGCCCAAATTTATTTCTAATGTGCACCAACAAATGCAAGCAGGCTTCCATTTCTCTAATTCTGTGTAAGCCAAGTGGGGAGCCTTTACAAGAATTCCCTCACGTCCACATCCACTTACCCTTCTGCCTCAGTTACCACTATTCGGTGGTGTTCAGAAACCACAGGCAAGAGTGAATTTCATTAAACGGGATGCAGTGCTGACCTCAGCCACTGCCCCTGAGCCCTCAACCTGAATGCCAAAACCAGACATATTTTGAATAAACAAACTCTTTAGAAACAATGCATATAGACCACTTCCCAATGGCCAAGGGATTTGCCACTTTCAAGAGTTGGTTAACAGCTGACGATCTATCTGGTAAGCTCTTAAAAGTTCCAAGAGAAAAAACAACTCTCTTTTTCTTTCTTCTTTTCTCTTTCCTTTCTTTCTCTTTCCTCTCTCTTTCTTTTCTGCTTTTTCTTCCTTCCTTCCTTCCTTTTCTCTTTCATCACCTTGTCACATTGTTTAGTGTAAGCTTTGGTTAGGAATAAGAAAGGACTTTGGTGATACCTGATCACAAATTTTCACATTACTGACATCTTAGGCATTATTGGATAATGACCACCTAATGATTTAGTTGCAACTTCATTTCTATTATGCACAGTTTGTATAACCATGTTATTCTATAATTGTAGATTACTCACCTCCCCTCTCCATAAAGTATTGCTAATCTGAAACCTCATAGTGCCATTGAAAACTTAGCTATGTGGGTAGCTTTAAAGAGTCAACAGTACCTCATTGGAAAATCTTGAGCATTGTTGTTTAATAACACCACTGTGTCAAGCTTTGCTTAAGGAACTTAAGCTGCTACCCTAAACCACTTATCAACTGTCTGGGATGTAATGGTATTGTGTTACCATCATTTTACCCCCCAAATATATCACAAAACTTTATTCTTATGGGATAAAAGATCTTAGAGCACAGAGGGAGAGATGGACTGAAAGCTGAAACCCACCCCTTAGGCCTAGGCAGAAGTGGAGTTTGCAGCATATATGGTATGCAAGATTCCTTATTGTGCTGTAGTCCCTCTCAGCTGGGGATGGGGTTTCACTCTAAGTGGGTTACAGAAGGGCTTTCTGGATCATCCATCTTTAGGACTAGGGTCTGCTGGTATTTACAGAGCTTGAGTCCAGTGACAATGTCCTTACATTAAGGAAAAGACCTGCCCTAGTGGGGCTGAATTTTCATTAAGGGGTCTCTCTGATTAGCTATGCAATGCCCATCATTGTTAGTGGACAAGCTGTGACTAATAAGCCACATTCTACCTAGAAGGTCATAGAATCACAATTTCTGTCTTATATCCTGTGGTGGTGCCATGTGGGAAATAGTGATTATGGTAAGAACTCCAGTGGATGAGTTCGGGATGCATAGCACTCGGTGTAGTGGGGGCTTTTGGGGCTGGGGAGTGCATATATTAATAAAGTTTTTGCCTGATGTTATAGTTACATGTCTACTCTTGTGGTCAGAAAGAAAGGGGTTGGATCTTGGATAGACTACTTCTCAGATTCTGAATTTGGTGACGTCAATTTGCCACCCAGTGACCCAACTTCTTCATCTCTAAAAACCTACCTCATAAGGAGATCATGAAAATTACATGTATCATTACACTTAAGTGCCTAGAACAGTACCTGGTACATAGACAGCACCCAGTGAATACTGGCTCTCATTGGCCTCAATACCTGTAACATGGAGATCACGAAGGTTCCTATATCCTAGGGCTGCTAAGAGGATTTAAAAGAAATAACACATTTAACAAGATGGTGCTATTATCTCTAATATGTAGTCAGGAAAACATACATTTAAAAAACTCTAAATTAATATTATAATTGTTATTATTAAATAGCCATTTATTAAAACTTCAATTAATTGGAATCTTTCCTTCTCTTAAGAGAAAACTGCCTTTTTTTTCCTCCCCCTAAAAGCCCTCTTTGGGATTTGTATCAAAAGAGCAGCTTTCAGAATGTGCTTTCGGCTGACAAACACTGTAGCCTCAAATTCTTGAGGCATACAGTATGGCAGAAAGAGCACTGTATTCAGAGCCGGGGAACTTACGTGTGGTGCAGTTCTATAATTCAGTCTTTTAACATCTTCAAGACTGGATAGTGACACTTGGGGTTAAGTAGTATGAAGCCAGAGTTCTAAAAGATCTTGACCCAGAGAATCAGACTCAGCTTCAAATGCTCAATAATGTGGAAAACATTTACAAAATTGTTTCAAAAGTTGTCGGAACAGAAAAGGTTTTCCAATGAATCTTCAAATTCATGAAAAAGTCAAATGGGCCAAAGTGATTCATTCCCCATTATATGAACCAGAATACTATATTTTCAAGGCTTACAAAAAATCAACTGACAACTGTAAAAATCCATAGTGAGATAACAGAAAATATATTCGACAAAGTACACAAGATTCTACAAAGGCTAAGAAGTCATCAATACCTACTTAACAAATAGTTATTGAGGGCTTACAGATGCTAGACACTAGTGGTAAATTAGACAATAAACAGTGCTCTCAGAGGTGGGGATGAAAACAGCATAGTTTTAGAAGATGGGGCCCCGAGAATCTGGGTAAACTCATTTTGGACCTCAGGTTTCCTGTCTTAAAATGAAAATAAGACTGTTTCTTCCCATCACTCCACGGTGTTGCTACAGAATAAATAAAGTTATGAAGTCTTGTAGGATACAAAGTAGGAAGGGTATAAACAGAAATAAACATGTATATCAGTATCTTTTTTCCTTAAAGTCAGGGTTCATACATCTCAGCACTCTTGACATTTTTGCAGGTAATCGTTATGGGGGGTTGACTTGTTCATCATAGGATGATCATCATCAGCTCATTAGATGCCAGCAGCACTCTCCCGCCACCAGTCAAAACTGTCTCCAGACATTTCCAAATGTGCTATAGGGCACAAAATCACCCACAATGGAGAACCACTGCTCTAAATTAGTGGTTTTTGACCAGATTAAACCCTTGGAACTTATTTTTAAAAACAGATGTCTAATCCCAACCTTAGATCTACTGAATCAGAATATTTAATGTACATCTGGGATGAGTACATTTGTAAAATAAAACAGTATGTATGCAGTTCTGATGCACACCCCTGGTTAAGAATCAAACATTAAAAGACAAAACGACACATATAATATAAAAAGAATTTAGCCCTCAAGGTTTTCGAGCAGCGAATGCTTACAAAGCAGATACCTACATGCCTAGAGTGGAGTCATCATAACCAGGGTGAAGCCATCCTTTGTTTAATTTCTCAAAGAATTTTTCCAAGGAAAAGCCCTGCTAAGGCTAATGAAGATATAGCATTGGTAAGTCAGGGACACTCCCAAAGGAAGCAATAATGTCTCCTTGCTTAGTTCCTAAGCATAGACTCCTGCCTCTTTCTCCTGAAATCCTAGACATCTGCAGATCAAGTCCCTTCTCTGGGGTTTCCATCTCACTGGACGTCATCTCACTTCCATCTTGCTCTACTCTAAGAAAGACTTCCTTTAGTGATGCTGTGGCACAGCTGGACCCTCTGCTAGTTGCTATCATGTTTTCTGATCATTTTATCTCTGGTAAAGATCCCGGTTGATGTGGAATGTACTGCTACTTTTCTCTCTGCTACAAAGCCTATCTTAGTATTAGGAAAGGATGTGTGTTGGTTTTTTACATAACTACCACTACTGATGATGACGACGATGACAACAATAAGAAGAGATATTCACGGAGTCATTTCTGCATACCACGCACTGTGGCTTGTGCTTTAGAGGGCTTGCCTTATTTAGTCCTCCTAATTCAAAGAGCTACCTACTATTTTTATCTACATTTTTTACAGAGAAGAAAGTTGAGTCTTGGAGAGGGTAAAGTAGCTTACTTGATGTCACACAGCTAGTAAGTGGCAGACCCAGGAATTAAACGTAGAAATGTTTGACTGCAAGGCCGGGCGCAGTGGCTCACGCCTGTAATCCCAGCATTTTGGGAGGCCAAGGCGGGTGGATCACGAGGTCAAGAGATCGAGACCATCCTGGTCAACATGGTGAAACCTTGTCTCTACTAAAAATACAAAAAATCAGCTGGGCATGGTGGCGCGTGCCTGTAATCCCAGCTACTCAGGAGGCTGAGGCAGGAGAATTGCTTGAACTCAGGAGGCGGAGGTTGCGGTGAGCTGAGATCACATCATTGCACTCCAGCCTGGGTAACAAGAGTGAAACTCTGTCTCAAAAAAAAAAAAAAAAAAAAAAGAAATGCTTGACTGCAAAGCCTATACTCCTAACATCTGCTTGATATAAAGGAACCAGTCCCTTGAAAAGTTGACAGGGCACCTTTCAGTAGAAGGAAGCCATAGTGACTCATTGAACTGACAAGATCTGACTTTTTGTTGAAGCACAGGTGCTTCATGGGAATTATACACAGGTGAGTGTTAAGTTCAAGCTGACAAACCTAGGTGTTAGTGACTGCTTGATTTTTATTCTCTAAGCTCCTAAAAAATGTTTTTGGATGAAGCTTACCAAAAGGGAGACTCATTTCTGAGATATCTACCAGGTAGAATATCCTTTAGAGACAATCACTGGAGTCCCTTGATTATATGATGACCCACAGATCATGCTCATGATTTAAACTCCCATAATTGCCAGGTGCAGTGGCTCACTACTGTAATCCCAGCACTTTGGGAGGCTGAGGTGGGCAGATCACAAGGTCAGGAGTTCAAGACCAGCCTGGCCAATATGGTGAAACTCTGTCTCTACTAAAAATACAAAAAATTAGCTAGGCACAGTGGTGGGCACTTGTAATTCCAGCTACTCAGGAGGCTGAGGCAGGAGAATTGCTTGATCTTGGGAGGTGGAGGTCACAGTGAGCCAAAATTTCTCCATTGCACTCCAGCCTGGGTGACAGTGCAAGACTCTGTCTCAAAAAAAAACAAAACAAAAAATAAACAAAAATCCCCACAAAAACGCAAATAATCTATTCATGGAAGACAAATGATTTGTGTAGGTGGAAGTATCATAGAGCATGGTTTTTCAATCTCTCTACACTACTGACATTTTGAGCTGGATCATTCTTTGCTGTGGGGGCTGTCCTGTGCACTACCGGAGGTTCAGCAGCATCCCTGGCTTCTGCCAGTAACATGCCCCCAACCCCCAAGTTGTCACGACCAAGAATGTCTCCAGACATGGCCAAAAGTCCTCTGTGGGACAAAAATCACCACCGAGAGAAGCACTGACTCAGAGTTCCCCAAACTAATGAAGCACCTAATAACTGAGTCTTTTCTCTTTAACAGGATGATTTCCTAGGCCAAAGAATGAATTTTCTGAACAAAAGGAAGTGATATTTCTCTTCCTTAAAAGATGATTTTAAAGAACTTCACTAGAAAGCAACTCATGCATTTAACTTTGCTTACTTTACATATTATTTGTTCTTTTCTAAAAAAATCTTTTTTTCCACACAAATAATGAGAGGGGCTTTATACCTTGGTTGGCATACAGATCTGGTAATTAATAATACTCCCATCCTGGGCAAGACCTGGAGCTTTGTTGGTATAACTGGCTTTAGTCCAGGGATGGTCAGAATGAAAAATTCTGCCAAAGGCAGTCAAGGCAACCCAATATGGCAAGTGACACTATCGTTGTAAGCCTTTTGATACAGGAATATTCACACTGGAGGCAAATCACTAGACTCTATTAACTGGATTTTTAGTCAACTCAGCAGGAGTTTAACAGAAGAACAGGAGGCTGTTAACTGTTCTCTTCTGAATTGGGAATTTGGAATGAATGAAGTATTTAAGTTGAGCCTTCTTTTCAGGTTTTTGGACACATAAAAATAACTTGCAGCCACCTGGTGGAAGCAAGACTTTTTTTTTTTTTTAAATCAAGGTCCGGGTGGAATTATAAAAAGGAAAGGAAAGAGAAGTAATCAAGGGAGGCCAAAGCGGGAAGCTGTATTGCTGATCTAACGTGCTGTTCCAGTTCCTTCCTTTGGCTCCAAGTGGGACTCTTCTGGGTACAGTGCGGACAGAAGAGTGTCCTGGATGTCTCACAAGTTTTTCCCATAATTGCATGAAGTCCCCCAAACAATCTCCTTCAGAGACGGGCACAGGCTCCAAAGCTAACTTCCAGATGGACACATGGACTTCTTGAGTCATCATTTTAATAATTACTAAGCTCAACTTTGTTGTTATTACTACATCATACTCATCACATTTTTATATGATGATGGGGGTGGCAGATGGCTGTATTATATTCAGAGAGGAAGGTCTGCCTGTACACATTTAGTGGTAACCTCTTTTCTAGTTCATCCAGATCAGTGGTTCTCAAATGGGGATGATTTTGCCCCTTGGGGGAATTTTGGCCATATCTGGAGACATTTTCTTCATTTTAAAAAGGACAGTGGCTGCTACCGGTATCTGGAGGAGAAACCAGGGATGCTGCTCAACATCCTTTAATACACAGACTAGCATTCTACAACAATTATCTGGCTCAAAATGTCAATGGTGCCAAGGATGAGAAACTTTGCTTTAGATGTGTTTTTAAAACTGAGGACTGTAAACTTATTTGTGTGTAGTAGAATCATTTAATCTGTTACCACTGAAAGTTTTTAAAGAAAAACAGGAAATGTCAGATTGCATCACATAGTAAGAGTAAATACTGTTTTATAAACTTTTGTTTCATGTGTGCGAACATGCACACTGGGTTGCAATATAAAATTTGTTTTTTTGTTTTTTTTTAGACAGAGTTTTGCTGTTGTTACCCAGACTGGAGCGCAATGGCACGATCTTGGCTCACTGCAACCTCCACCTTCTGGGTTCAGGCAATTCTCCTGCCTCAGCCTCCCGAGTAGCTGGGACTACAGGCGCGCACCCCCATGCCCAGCTAATTTTTGTATTTTTAGTAGAGATGGGGTTTCACCTTGTTGACCAGGATGGTCTCGATCTCTTGACCTTGTGATCCACCCGCCTCGGCCTCCCAAAGTGCTGGGATTATAGGCGTGAACCACCGCGCCCGGCCTAAAATTTGTTTCTTATTGTGAGTTGGGGCAAATAAGTTTGAAGTAATTGATCTTGCCCAGTATTTGTCAAACTTTTATGTGCATTTGAATCAAAGAGGCTCTTGTTAAAATGCAGATTCTGATTCATTCAGGCTGGGGTTAGGGCTGAGACTATATGTTTCTTTCAAACTTCCAGGTGATGCTGAAGCTGAGGGCCTATGGATCACACTTTGAATAACGAGAACCTATGCATGATAATTTAAATTCATTCATTAAAATAATTAGAGCAGTAACTATATCACTAGGTATTGGTTGTGAAATCTTGTGATAGCCTATCTGGAGCCCAGCAGTGAGAGAAATAGTTATTTGGTTAATAAATGAGAAGTATTTGAGGATTTAGCATAGCTCATCTCCTGCAATGCAATGTGATAATATTTGATCCACAAAATGTGCTTTGGCTATTCTGTGTGTCTGTGTGTGTGCGTGTGTGTGTGCACATGTGTACTTGCACATGTGTAGTGTGTTTGAGTCTGTTGCTTACTGCTTCCATGCCATAAGTCTGCCATAAGAAAAAAAAAAAACCTGTTCTAAGACACAGAAATATCGTGTGGGTCATGTTAACAAGAATACTGTGACCTTAACGTAACAGAGCAATCAGCTTGGCTTCTTAGAATGATTAATGGAACATTCTCCTCTGGAAAGGAAAACAAATTAACTGTCTTCACCAAATGTCTTCTGGAACACAGAAAGCTGTTCTGCTAAAGACACTTAGCAAAATTCTTCATTGCCTATAAGCTCCAGAGAAAATTCAAAACTGGCTTTATGTAAGGTTTGCCCGAAAGTAAAAGATCTATTTCTATGAATGGCTTTGGAAGGAAATAGCTCGATTAGAAAACCCCTCAGTTTCTTTTGGATAGTAATAACCCATTTAACATGATTAATCCAAATCTATTAATGCCCCTTATATTTTGTATGCAGGATTGCTGAAAGCTCAAATTACCCAGGCAGGGAGTGAAGCATTCCCAAGTTTACGTGGAATAGAAATGTGTTTCTATACCTAAGACTCCAAAAGTAAAGGAATTAATTGTTATCATTTATTTGTTATTGTGAAGTTGTTGGGGTAAGAGGGGATTGACATTTGAATAATATTCACTGCAACGGGGCATCAGAAGCATCAAAACACTCTGTTCATCTCCTCCTCATCCTAATAGAAGAGGAATGATCAAATCTGTTAAAAGCAGATTTGGATGGTGGGAGGTAGAGAACGCATGAAGACACTGGGAATTTGAATGGCACTGGAGGGTCTAAGTCATGAAGAAGAACTTGGATTGTTTTATAATTTTAGCTTGGAAGTATCCTGAGGTTCACTTCCAAGAACCCAAGCAGAGCTTAGATTGGGACCGAATACATGGTTTTCCTCAGCCAAGGAAACTTAACTCCCTAATAAGGTATATATCTTATATACATACAAACACATGCACATATACCCTATTTTAAAATATATATCATATATATAGATACCCATTATGTAACAATATTCAGTAGGTCATGTTACCAATCAAGGTGAGAGAGTGATGGGCTTCTCATTTCCCCCACAACTTGTCTCCAGTTGCTGTATTCCTTTTGGGAAATGACACTCTACAGCTGTAATGCATGGCCTAGGCCATGACTTAACTGCCAGAATTTACTTTGGGGCTCAAAAATAGGTGAAAGAATCAACTGTCTCTTCTTCCTCTACATGCCTTTCCCAGTTCATTTGGATTAGCTTTCCAGTTTCAATATACGTCATCTCACAGATTCTAAGGGATGTCCTAGTAGCCTGGCAGACATGCTCTTTAGCTTCATAATTGAGGACGGTAGAGATGAGGTCACAGTTCAATTAAAATTTGATCTAAAGAGTATGGAAAAGCTCAGCTTCAGACTGATTTGAAGGGCTTAATTTCAGATTGATAACCTCAGGGAAAATCCCAGTCGAATTAACAGAGGAACCTTCCCAATAGTATGGATATGTGTGTGTCAAATTCACCAGTCTGACTTCAAAGCAGTTACAGAGACACAAGAAATGCTGGACTGTGATCCTCTGATTTACCCACCCAGCTCAGATAGCTGTGCCTTATTCCAGTAGATAAAATCTCTGAACCTCTTCACAATGGCACCTTGCACCCTGGCCTCTGTGAGTTTCTTATGGTTTAGCCCCGCCTCCTGTCCTTTTTTTTTTTTTTTTTTTGTAACTAGCTTCAGAAGTTTTCCTTACATACAGAGAACAGCTTAAAAAAACCCTGGTTGAATTCTGCTAAGTTACTAATTATGTTTAAAAGAACTACTTGGTTGAATTCAGCTTGATTTTTTTTTTTTTCTCAGCAAATCAGTTCTATGTTTAGATAGTAATAAACTCCTCCAGTCTGCAGAACAATTGGCACGGCAGTCCCTATAACAAGTTAAGATCATGAAAAAAGGGCCAGTGCTGGTTCAAAATAAATTTAGGGGGCATCACAGCCATGCCCTGCATCAAATCCTGGTTTGTACAAACCAGCTGTAAAGAATATTTTGGGGACAAATGGGGAATTTTGAATACAGTGTATTAGAGGAACATTTACTGACACAGGAAGTAGTGATTATTAACTGTAAAAAGCAAATTTTTTGCTTACTCATTTTAGAAAAAAACTACATAATATATATAATTACATAGAAAAAGATCCAAAAAGATAAACCCACAGATAATAATCTGCAAGTGCTGGGAATACAACATCTCTCTTTTTTTTTTTTTGCTTAGCTATATTTTCTAAACTTTCACAATATACATATGCTGCATTTTAATAGTAAAAGGTATTAACTACTCCCTCCCTCTGTCCTCACCCCCAAAACTCCTGAAGCTCCAAAGGTTAATTCTGATTTATTTGGCAATGCAGTGTGGTTTTGTTGAGGGGGTAGAGCTAGGTTATTTCAAAATTCCTTGAAGGAACAAGTAGTTCTTTGAGATGATAAGGATGATGATGATAAAAGACTCATTGAATTTTTAACTATGCTTATCTACATTCATTATATCATTTAGTCCTCACAAAAACTGTAAGAAGCCAGTTTCGTTACAGATGGGGAAATTGAGGCTCAGGAAGGTGAAATAACTGACCCCAGGTTAGAAAGCTCAAAAGTGGCAAAACCAAGTTTCCTTTTTCTATCCATCTTACTTCAAAGCCCCACTCCTGACCATCGTTATTTTGCCTGTTTCAGAAAGATGTTTTACCAAAAGTAAAAAAGTTACCAGGCTGCTCTACATCAAGCAATTCTAAGCAAACTTGGGGTTAATGTCTTAAAGTGATGGGGAGACTCTCATAGCACCTTAACATGGATATGAAGCTTTGCTTATCAAGGAAAAAATGAGGGCTGGGAAAAGCATTTCCATTTTGATGATGATGATGATAGTGATGATGATGATGGTGGTGGTGGTGGTGGCTAACACTTACCAATGCTTCCTCAGAGCTCGATGCTGCAGATGCACATGGCATTTCACCCTCATAATAACTCCACGATTATCATCCCTGTTATATAGATGAATCAGCTGAGGCTCTTAGAGATTAAATGCCTTGTTCAAGGTCACCCAGCTAGTAAGGATCAGGTCTGAAGGATCCAGAGGCAGGGCCTATGATCACTGCACAGTAAGTCCCATTCAGGGCACTCAAGTCTGCTTATTGCTTAGAGAGGAGATAGCTCACTGTCTCAGTGTCTAGAATGCCATATGCCTCGATTTTCTTTAATCAGCCCCTTAGAAGTACAACTTACTGTATTAGCGAATCCTATGCACCTCTCCCCATTTCATATTTTTGGAAATGGTTTCCCTTACCTGGATAGCTGGTGATATACCTTATAGATATAGTGTAATGCTCCCCTTGTAGCCTAGTATTTGGTACTTTCATCCTCCAGCAGGGTGATTCCTCCTTTGAATGATATGTGCTACATGTATGGTGCTTGAGCAATTTAATAAGGTTGTTAAAATAAGGTTATCTGTGGTTTCGTATATATATATAGCAAATATATTTTGATAGGCAAAGGTTTCATCTTTCAGATTACCCCCTTCAAGGGAAATAGTCACACTCAATTATTGTTCTGCCACATAAACTGGACAAATACACGATTTGAAAATGGAACAACAAATTTAAATCTGTGTGAGGCAAAGAATACTGAGCAGCAGCCCCTTCTGAAGCTGACCACACTGCCTGATTAAGTTCTTATGAGGTGGTTTGGTAAGAGGCCCTTTCCTGATCTGATAACTGCCACGGAGAAGCCAAATGCAGAGTCAATCTGCAAATACTTAATCCTCCAGAAGGCAGATTAAGTGTATAATTGACCTATATAATCCATGTATCATCTCCAGTCAAATGTTCCCTGGGCCTGGTTCACAATGACACGGGGCCTGAAGAAAGCCAGCGTGGATGCAGCATTACCACCAATGTGGATTCCATCCAAGTTCGAGATGGCTTTTTAATCACTCATCTCCGAGCCTGTGAGGTTTAAGCAGATGAATTCACCCTAAGCACATCTCTTTTAATCCCGATTTTCTTCTCAGTCTGTGTCTTCAAGAAGTACAAGGAGGAAAGAAAATTAATTTTTGTTTAGACCTTGAAATCTTAGGTGCTTCTCTTGATGATCTGATCTCTAATTTCAAAAAGCATGTTTTTATTTTGGGGAAGATGTTGAATTAATCACTAGAGAAGGGGGGAAGCCATCTGCATGATTTATGGACACTCCAACTTTAAATCATTGTCTTCAAGTTATTTCTTGAGCTTGTGTTTTCCCCTGTAGCTGCTGTTTTAGTTCTATGGAGATTATTTCATATCCATGTTTTATGTTTTCTTTGAATGTCAACAATAATTTTCAAGAAGGCCAAGCTTCCACTTGAGTCTCACAGCAGTCTGATCTTCTTTTAAAAATGCAGCATCTTTAATATATTTGAATTCATTGTTTTTGTGTAGATTGGAATATTATCTTGCTTTAAATCTTGGAATGTTTTGTTTCAAAATATTATAAACTATTATTTTGTAGCTAGTAAAAACAATATACAATTATACTTCATTTTTTAAGAAAAAAATGATAGAAACATAAAAAATGTACAGCTGCACAGCTGAAATATTATGGGAAACAGTTTTCGGATTCTTTTCTGATCAGCACTTTGTCTTGGATTGATTAGTTTTTTTTCTTAGCTGCTTTATCAAAAAAGTCATTAGTATTTTTATAGAAAGACTATGTAAACCAATTATATTAATAAACAGAGAAATCTTAACTGCAAAAACAAACCAGTTAGGCAACATTATGTCCAAATGTATTTCTCCAATAAATCTAGAGAATGCTTGGTTAAAAAAAATCGGTGAAGATGAATTTGGAAAGCCTGTTCTGAAGTTACGTAATAAAATAGATAAAAATGCAGAACATCAAATATAGAGTCCCAAATGCTATGCCGATAATCTCCCACAAGCACCCACTTCCAGCCAAAAGTACAATGACGTGGCAGAGAGAAAACTAGCTCATAGAGCACGGGGTAGGGGCCTAGTTAAAGCAGAAAATGCACCATTAAATGACCAGCTATTAATCCAAATATTCTCAAATACAAACACACACTAAAACCATCCAGCCTTTTCTACAAGGGCACACTCAGAAGGGCAAAAAAGGGAACAATACCAAATATCGACAACTTAAAGGACTTATCAGGTAAATAAAACCGAGACTTGAAACACAATTAAAAACACAACAGGAACTCTTAGAACATGCCTCTGAATGACAGATGCCAGCAGGAACTAAAAACCAGAGAATGACACGACAGTCAGAATCAACAACCCCCAAACAGCAAACAATCTCGGAGATATAGATTATTTTTCTTCATTCAAAATGTTAATTTGCTATTATTCATTTTTGCCATTTATCAAAATGCAACAATTTGGAAGAAAAATCTCACAGATCAACAAGTCTTTCTCAATAGGTTTCTGCCAATTGTTTAGAAACTTGCCCCAGGACCGCTATCATTAATGAATGGAATTTAAAGAATAAGTTCATTTGCAGCAAGAAATTTAGAGTGGCAGCCTTCACAGACCCTTCTGCCTTGATATTCCTATTCCCTTGTTTAGCTTGGTGGACACAAGAGTCTTGCAGAGCATATATATATAAAAAAATAAACACCATGCTTGAGGAAACAGAAGCTGAAAATAATCAAACATGTTGGTAATCTGATGTTTTGCTGCTAGATTATAGAAAAACAGTAAGTACTGAATTAAATTACTGAGGCTGCATGGTAATGAAGCTTTTTGAGAAGCTCTGGGTTTTTAAAATGACAAATGTTTTAAATCCATGACAGATTCAATAACTTTTTTTGCATGTCACTTAGGTTGCCTAGCACCAATATTCTGTAAATAAGGAGATCAGGTTATTTAGAAAGTAAGAAAGTAAATGACAAAGACACTTGTTATGTCTAAATAAGCTCCTGAATTTTTTTTCTCCATGGGGCCGAGAGTGATGTGCGATACATGACTGTAATAGTTAAGCCTTTGCAATCAGTTATACTCGGGGGGTATAACTAAGACTCTCTTAGGAAAACCAAATTGGGACAACATGAGACTAAATTGTGGGGGTTTCCACAATGTTACAAATGCCATTTTATGCTGATGGATGAAATTCAACAAGAGACTGGAGGTACTTGTGAATTTTTGAATGACCCTAACTATAACTTGCTTTTGGAAAAAAAATTCTCAGTAATATTTCTTTTTTACTATTAATTTACATTAAAGGCTGGAGGGCTTAATTTTGCCTGTGGTCTTCAACAGTCAGGCAAGTCCAGTTTTACCATCTGTGCTAGCCAAGGCTGCACTTTTACTTTTTAAATGAAGATTTGGTTGTACTTTCCTTTAAGAAGTGCCACAAAAGAGATAATTTGCCTTGCTGCCTTCAACAAGGCTACCTTGCTTGTACTTCTGATTTAAATAAAGAGAAGCAAGGGTGGATTATTTGTCAATGAAGTGACGGGCAAACTGCAGATTAAGCATCAAATTCAGTACCAGATTTTTTAAGTTTTAGAGAATACAAGGTTATTGGTTATTCACACACACACAGTAACACACACACACACACACACATGCACACACACACACGGGCCACATAAAACTGAGAATCAGAAGATACTGATCAAAGGAAAAAAAAGGCAACCTAGGCATTGAAAAGAACAATCCACAGGCTTCTTGAAAATTTTTGGTTTGGAATTTAATTCAGTGGAGATGAGCAGAGTGTCCACATTCCTAACTGCAGACCCAAGGGTCCTGCCTGTCTCTGTTTTCAATGCCTATTGGATGGTGGTTGTGCCCCCGACATTCTATGCTCAGTACTTTCATATAAGGCATGCATGCAGAGAAGGGGGGGACCCGCTGGTGAGCTTTATGCATGTATGAGGCATTCTCAGTGGATGTGGGTCATGCTAGAAGATGTACACAGGAAGATTATTTGATTCTAATTCATGCCACTTGGTATAATGTGATAAAACATTTGACATGAGAGATAAGTTCCATTTTTATCCGAGAGAGGACGGGTGGGAATTAAAAAGTAAGAAGGGTTTTGTCAAGGAAAGGTGATGCAGGGGAAAGAGGGGTATCAAGCACAAAAAGGGAATGACTGGAAAAGAGAGAAAAAAAAAAAAAAAAAGGAGCCTTTCAACACACGAGGAAAGCAAATGAGCTGGAAGACAAAGCATATAAAAGTCAGAAGCCGCAGAATCAGAAAGCGGTGCCAACAATGAGCTCACTTAGCTGTGGAACAAAAACACACACACATACACACACACACACAAACTCAATATAAATTGCTGAACACAATCACAGAAAAAAAAAAATAGGAACACGGATTCTATAGTAGACCAAAACATTAATGTTCGCATTGGCACTAAAAATATGGAAACCTGGACAAGAGGAGCTCACGTTTCACAAGACAGAAGTAGGCTGCACACTCAGAGCCACACGGAGACAAGAACATCAGCTTCCATGCACTCTGGCCGGGTCTACACTGGCAAATTCGGTGGAAACCTGAGATAAAAATATCCGGCTAAATGAGGTAGCCCCGTCTGCTTTGGCCTGAAAGAGACAGGCAATTTGAGACGGAAGCAGATTCCTTTTTTTTTCTTTTTGCCTCAGTGGCTTGCTTTGCGTGCAGATGCAGTCCCAGTGGAAATAAGATTGCTCGAAAATGATTAACCCTTTGGAATGTGCATTTTCCGAAGTTTGATCTGGGTCTGCAGCCTAGTGTACTCTTTTTTTTTGTACAGCTGCTTCTTGCAAATTTTCAACCAGTGGGTAGGCAGGGGGCACCATGGTTTAAGCTGCAACTGACTGAGCAACTCTAATGTAAATGTTTGCCAAAATCCAGGGGTAAGGATTTTGAGTCTTCCAGGAATGAAATTATCTTTGAAGTGATAACGATGCGACATTTA